ACTACGAATATGCATGCAGGCGTCAACTGTTGAAAATATTTTAGATGGACAAACTACGTCTATACATTCTATGCACCATTGTGCTTCTGAACCAGATTTAAACGTTACACCACTTAACAATGAAACTTACAATACAAATCTTGGTTTAATTCACTGCTTTAAACGCAAACGGAGTGATTGTATGGATGAAAGGATGTCGGAATACATGACCGAGATGAAGGCAATGTTTTCAGAGATTAAGGCTCGCCAGGAGACACAGGATATTAAAATGGAAAATATTTGTGTGGTTATGGAAGAGATCAAAACTCAAAATAAATCTATTCAAAATTCAGTTGACTTTTTGTCCGAACAATATGAGTGCATGAAGATTCAAGTAGAAAAATTAGATTCTGAATGCCGTAAAAATCAGTTGTATATTACGTCTCTGGAAGAAAAATTGGATAAGTATGAGAGCAGTAGTCGCTCGACTTGCATTGAAATTAAAAATATTCCTCCAGCTAAAGGCGAATCCAAACTAGTACTTTTAAAGAAAGGAATTTCTATTGCACAGAAAATCGATAGTAATATTGAATCATATGAAATAAAAGATGTCTTTCGTGTAAACACACATGATCCTTCAATTAAAACTGTAATTGTTGACTTCACTAGTGTACTTACTAAAGAAAAGCTGATCCATAAATATAGACAGTATAACAAAGGGCCTTGAAAATTAACCACGGAAAGTTAAGCCAATATTTATATCAGAAAATTTATCCCAAAAAATGAAAAGACTATTCTACCTTGCCCGTGACTATGCCAAATCAAATGGCTATGCTTTTTGCTGGGTGTCAAATGGAAAGATTTTTCTTCGGAAAACTGAAGGTGCACCACAACATTTCATACGTTATGAACAGGACATAAAGAAATTAACAGATTCTATGTGACTAAATTTGGTTTATCATTGGTATTTTATTTGTAATCTTTGTAATAGTCATATGTTTATCAACTTTGATTATCATCATCATCTGAGCTGCAATCACTCAGCTTTGCTGATAATATGGAATAAATCATCATCACAAACAGGTTCAAACATATATAGACACTTACATGAAACCCACACAAACATTTTATACTTCATATTACATACATACTATGATACATATTTCAGAAAGTAGCCTATGGTCTATCTATCTCAGGGTCTAGACTAACTATGAACCAAATTTCATTTAAATCGGTTTAGTAGTTCTGGCGTGTAAGTGAGACTGACAAATAGACAGATAAAGTTACTTTCATAGATATTATTAAATTTTAAAAACTTCATTAAAAAAATAACATATTTATTCATATTTAATCACCAACCTAAAATATAAGTTTCTAACTTCTCCCTTTAAAAATGATGATTCTTACGTACAACCTTGCATCTACCATTTCAACCCCCTTACAACCCTTTTTTTACATTCAAAAGTATCCTATGTGCTTTCTCAGGATCTAGACTAATTGTGTACCAAATTTCACTTAAATCTGTTCAGTAGTTTTGGCGTGTAAGTGAGACAGACAGAGTTGCTTTCACAGTAAAAAACTTTCATCGTTCTAACTTCAATAATGACGAATTTACATAAAAATTTAAATCCCCTATTTCATATTAACCTTAAGGATAACATTTTTACAAACTTTGATGGCCTATTTATTTATATTTAATCAACAGCCTCAAAAATAAGGTTCAAGCTTCTAGCTTCAAAAATGACGATTCTTTTATACAATCTTTCTTCCCCAATTTCAACCCCTTACAGCCCTTTTTTCGCATGAAAAATAGCCTATGTCCTTTCTCAGGGTCTAGGCTATCTGTGTACCAAATTTCATTTAAATCGGTTCTGTAGTTTTGGCGTCAAAGCGAGACAGACAGACAGACAAACAGACAGAGTTACTTTCGCATTTATAATATTAGTAAGGATTAATTAATTATCTTCTGGTGTGGAGTATAGTAAGAACTCTCTGTTTCATGTAAAGAAAATATTATATTTTGAAAATTATAAGTTCATTATCATCTTTAAATATTAGGAAATAAAGAACTGTAAATTTATACTTTATAGGGACATATATTATTATATATATTGGTTTGCTGTACTGTCCAATATTATGGCGTATGCACAGACCTCTGTCTGTTATAAATAATAGATTGATTTAATTTTCATAGCTGGAAACGATATAATTTTTTACTATTATGCTTCTTGTTCAGGTACCTAATCATCAATCATAAGTTATCAATTACATCTAGTTTAGTTCGGAAACTATAATAAAATTGACATTACACATATTATTGTTATAGTAATTTGCATAATGATATAATTTAATTATCTTGTAAATGATTAACTACTTTGTGCCAGACTAGACAGCTTTGAATGTCTCAGATTTACGTTAAGACATTACGAAGTAAACACAGTTATCATTTGCGTGCTATATGGAAAACTTAACACTTATCAACTAGTATGTCGTCTGATCAAGAAAATCAGACAGACTCTTATTAAACAAGTAAATGACATCCGAACGATCTCCCATCTAATTCAAATCGAAATTATGACGATCTGAGCCGAGGTTCGAACCCCTAGCAGTGCCCCGTCGTATCCGTCAGACGGGAGTTGGCCTTCAGCCGCTCTGTAAGTCCTTTCGCGAGTTTGTAGTGACATCTGCACTCGCGCTTATCGTCGGGTGAAGTTGGTATATAGCTATATAAGATAACACTACTTGTAAAATTGGGAAAAAATATTTCGTTATGAGAGTCTTCGTTGCGTGAGTTGTGTGAACTGTGACTCATCTGACGCAAATGAATTTATGTTCCACCAACTTAATCAGTGAGTATTATATATACTAACATGTTATGGATCATTATTATCAAAAATAAATAAATTATTGTAACTACAGTTCTACAGTTATGTTCGATTTCCTAAGGTCAACATCGAATTGGAGACAATGCTAGAGAGTTTATGACAACCTTGAGTATGAAACGCCTGTCACTATTGCATGGGCAATATTAAGCATACTAATATTACGAAATCTATATATCGACACGTGTATTAGATACTGATATACACATGTATTAAATGTATTAGATGCAAATATTCTCACCGTTGCTTCTCAATTTATATATTCAAATATCCTATATGTTCATAAAAATCTTGACTTATTTCCAAAAAACAGCAATATTCATACTAGATTTCATATTAAATTAATAGATATTCATATTAATACTAGATTTAAAGACAAAATTGCTGTTCCCAAGTATCGTTTAGAAAAAGTCAATAGGTCTTTTATGGGAATAGGTATAAAAATTTACAATAAGATACCAAGGGTATCTAGGGATATATTGGAATTACCCTTAAATTAATTCAAAACATCTGTTAAATCATATTTACTGAGCAAGGCCTATTACTCACTAAACGATTACTTGAATGATGAGCGTGCATGGCAATAGTTTTTCATGTACGGGATTTTCATTTAATGTTAGACATAGACACCTATATAAATACCTATGCATTGTAAATAAACTGGCTTTTAAAAAAAAAATTCAATTGAGTTTCTTGCCAGTTCTACTCAATTGGATCTATATACCGAACTGGACGGTAGGGAAAAAAAATTATAATGTAAAAACTTGATGTTCATGAGCGACTAAAATGTCCTACATGAATTAATGATTTTCGAATTTGGATTTGAATTTGATAATGCGCCATAATACAGATATCACATGTCTACAAATAGATAACAACGCACTGGCATTCAATGCAATTTAGCGTATTATCTGAATCTATTTATTTCAATTTTTGTCTGTTTCTCTTATCACGCGCTAAAGCTAGAATGGGCATATTCAATATGTGTGTACTTTTCACTAAAGTATCTCTTATTTCGTTTGTTAAATTCTAATCGGTTTATAAATAAAAAAAGTATGTAGGTTTTGTCGTATACATTTGTATTTATTAGTATACATTTTTGTCGCGGGCTGGACCATAGTCGAGGCAATGTGGTGCTCATAGTTAAGTTCACTTTAATGAAAGCAGAGCCGCGGTCGGTTACTACCGGTAATTAGTGTTCCACTGGGGGCCCGATATTTTGGTGATCGACCGCCACAAACTCTTTTGATATTTTTATTATTATTAAATTTATATTTTTGAAGAGTTCTTTTTTATATGTCATGTTATTTGATATACTTCACTTTATTGTATCATTCTCTCATATTGTTCTTTTGGATAGTTCGCAATTCTATTTAACTATATTTATATACCGATCCATTACTCAGCTACGCTAACGCAGCTAGAGAATAGATTAGACATTGCTTGATATCAATGATATTCGTACATACTACGTGGATTATAAGTGTATCAATGCTGATATTGAATATCGTATATTTTCGATAGCGATTATTAACAACAATAGATATTAAAATATATTTTTTACCTATTCAATAAGACAAGTCTTTCAATCCTACATAATTATTCAATGCCAGTTAGTATTAAGCGAAATTACCCATGTCTACGTACTGCTGGTTTTTTATCTTGTTATCAGCCATCCCGAATACTATTTTTTTACATTATTGGAATAGTAAATAAACTAATAGCCTAGCTCATAGTCATAGTAACTGCCTGTAGAGAGATGAACAGATTAACTGCTAAGTCTAAGCTTTACTAGGTAACCCATACACTGTTACACAGCCAATTTAACCTCATCCATTTAGCTGCAAGTAGCTTGCTTTATTACATGTGTTCCAGTAGAAGTAGTTTCAGTTTATGTCGATTGGTTATAGATATAACAATCTTTTCTTAGTTTGATAGGACAAATCTATTCTTAGGTAATGTCATTGTAATATTTAGTTTTTAGTAATTATTAACAATATGCATAAATCTGAGAATACATTAATGCGCATATTTATTTGTTTCATTTATTAAAAGTAATAATTTTGAAGGTACATATTAACAGAAACATATTGTATCTTAAATAAAAGTTTTTAATAAATAATTAAAATAAATGTACATTATACGTTATAATTCTGTAATTATATCATACAAATGATAACAGATATACTGAAATTAGGACAACTAATGATGATTTGTATGTTACTGCAGAGTTACATCTATCAGAGTTGCAAGTATTGCAGTTAGGGGCGAAATAAACTATTGAACATGTTGTCGCCACAGTGTCCTGCTGGATAGAACATCCTCTGTTGATAGTAGTTTCGCCATTAACTGAAATAAAATTGAGATAATTTTAGTTTTTATAGTATATTTTTATATAATATATATTGGTTAGTTATATAGTATATTTTTTATTATATATAATGGTGAGCCAACTTGCTGGTAGGCGGTAAGCCTCCGATGTATGGACATCATGTTATTATATGACACCTTTGCTACCTCTCATACGCTGCCATTCTGAGAAGTCATGTTCTTAGACCGTAATTTCACTGCCTAATTACCACTCTTCAATCGAAAGCTTATGAAACAAGCAGCTGCTAAAATAGGCGAGACTGCGGTACACGCAGATGACTTATAATTTATTTCTGGTGAGTGTGTAAACATGCAAATATCACCTAACATCTTTCTACCCCTATACCCTGGATTTGGAGTCGGCAAAGAAGGCAAGTACTAAATCTACATATAACTAATATGATGATGAATGTAGCCTTTGTGTATGGCTGATTCATCATCGAGAATTAGCTATATGTCATCTGTAACGGTTATAAGGATATTTATATTTTTATAAGAATCCTTATAACCTATATTTTTTATCCTACGTAGAGGTGAGATGAACGACTACAGTAAAATAGATGGGATATTATTGCGGCGAGTTACGACCACCTTTTCTAATTAATATACTTAAATAATATGAAATATACAATATTATATATCTATATACAAATCGTTCTCTGTACAGATTGTGCGCCTGTGGAACTTCTATGCCTTCTTCTTTGTGTGGTCTATTGTTATATTTTTCAATATATCTGCTTTTGTATGTTGGTGTAATAAAAGATTATAAATAAATAAAAAAATAAATATACGAGTATAGTAAAGTTTTTGAGGTGAAGAATATAAATGGAAAGATTACTAAGATATTTTAAGCACTTACTACTCTTTCCATTTATTTATTTATATTGCTTTGAGAAGTGTTTAGTGTGGTAAATATGAATAAAATGAAACATACTAATGATTTCATCCTTAACACAAACATATGTTGTCTCATCGTCTCTTCCTAGTCTAGAGTAACGTCCATTGCACTTGCAATTATTGACCTGTAATTAAAAATTAAACACTTTATATTATAAGATATTTTGAGAATGCCTAAGTACTCTATTTTTTTTATGATAACCCTGGACAGTTTATTCTATGCATCTAGTCTCAATCTAGGCAGAGAAAGTTGATGGAAACACTTAATATTAGTTCAAAATAATATACATAGAAATCTCCCAGACTAATACAAACAATCTACTCATTATTGTTTGCATTGGGGTCTAGTGGACTATATATGACTACTAGTTCCAATACTAACAACCCCTTCTTTCTCGAATGGTAATGTAGCAATAGATACTCAATTTATTACTTAAGAGATAAATATTATGTGATTATAATACAATTTGCAACACTTACATCTTTACAGAAACAAGGGCTATTGTTTTGAACATGTCGCTTAAACCTTGACGCTTTTATATATATTTGCGGGTCTTCGGTAGTAGTACTATTAGAATCATCACTAGTTTCTTCTTCAGCAGATACAGTAGATGGACTACTACTACTTGGAGACTCAGTTGATGTTGTTATTGTTGTTGTTGATGTAGATGTAGTTGTTAAAGCTGCTTCGCAATTTTGCACATCATCATCTGTAACTTCTGTACAGTCTCTGCAGACGTAACATTCTAAGCTGTACACTGAAAATAACATTATTTTAGTAAATCCAACACTCACCGCACTATCACTAGGTTGTCTCCTTATAACTATGATTTAGCTTTAGTGTGAGTCAGTCAGTATAAACAACATGTTAAGCATATTGTATGGATAACAGATGCGAAAAATTTCAAACGTCAAAATATAAAATACTAAAATATCAGTGCAGTAATAGTAATCGTATACCATGAGATAAGCAGTATGGTTGTTTGCCATTATTGTCATGTACAAAAACGTAACTTACTGCCTAAAAAAAAGATATACAAAACAGTTCAGGTCTGAAACCACCAAAATAAAGCTATTTAACCTATTGACAGTACTTAGCATGAAATTTTAACGTAAGATCTGTTTTTATTTCACTACAAATAGAAGCGAACATTCTTAATCCCCTTAAATAATATAAAAAAACAGTAAGGGTTGGATATAGTAACTAGCAATCTGGAATAGTCAGTAATTTCCCGATACGAATAAATAATGTGAACACATTTTTTGTACAGATAAAATATATTACAATTATATTTAGATAATTCAACCGATTTTTTACTGATGAAATAGATGGTAATCGTTCCTCATGAACATATAAGAATACATATATTATATTAACCTTATGGAATATATTCATCAGTAATTTCAAAATAGAAGTTATTGGAAAAAATACAGGTGTAAAAAAAATGAAAAAAGGCAAAATAAAAGTGAAAGGTGCAACTGTATACATAAAAAAGTTTGTTATACATTTGTGATACCTACAACACGCATTGGTGAAGATATAATAATTTTAATACATAATGCATGTTAGATTCTTCGCAAAATAATATTTTATTTTGATTGATTCCATTCTGGTTGAAAAAATATTAGGTACTGTTATTTTTTTTATTTTATATGTCATCATATCTCCGCTTTTATTTGTTAAATATTTTATTTATAAACATATAGGTACATACTTCTACTAATAATACAATCATATTAAGAAAATCTCAACAGACAAGAACAAAAGAAATAGCTAAAATTGATTGATTTAAAAAGAAAAAATAAAAGTGTTGTTATGTTAAGTTGTTATTAAAAAAGTTTATCTTACCTCCCGAAATCACACAAAACATTAAAGTAAGAACAAATAAATATTTTTGTCCCATTTTAAAAATTTGACTTTTTTCTGTTCTGTTCACAAAACACACGACGTTGGCACTAGTAGGTGACTGTCTAACAGTTTGTCTTAATTATTATATTATATAAATGTAAATTATCTAAGTAACTGATTCATTTTGATTTATCGAACTATTATCTTGTTAATCTTATCGTGCCACTAATATTAAAAACGACAACACACCTGCTTTGTTTTATAAAATAATTAAAAATAAATGAATGACTAAAGTCTTACAGCGTTGTTGTGTTTAGAAGCGGAATTTATATTTCAATTACAAATGATCAAACCAAAAAGTAATCAAAGTAAATGTCAATTGTAAATTAGCTTCATTAAAATCTATTCAGGAGTTTTTGTATCAACAAACAACAAACAGAGCAACAAACAACCATTTATGCATCCATTTTAATAATAAATCAATTACAGCTTTCGGCCCCGGTGATTTAGTCGTTTACACAGCCTTACTAGTAGAATGTCGCGGGTTTTATCCTCGCATAACACGAGTAGATGCAAACATTTGTATTCATATCTGGATATTTTTCTATCATGTAACATAAATATATGACTCACTAGAATAAAGTCGTCTTTACTGTAAATCTCTTCAAAGATAAGATCATTAGAAATAAGATGAAAGAGCAGTTATTCATTATAATAAACTTAATACACAAAAAGAAACGGCTGATAAGTTTCTTTGAATTATTATAATTTTATATTAAAGTATATATTAAAGTGGGTAATTTAAATATATATTATAATGCTGGCTAAATATTTCAGCATTGAATTCATTGACTTAGATTAAGTAATTCGTTAAAACAATTATTGGCAGAATATTATTTTATGATTAGATATTGCTCACTAGCGATAAGGTTTATTTTATATTTATTGTATTGATTATATTTATTTTATTTCATATTTATCATAATTGCAGTGTTTACATGATATAGTATTAAATAATTAAATATTATAATATAAACTGAGGTCATTGTATAAAAATATGCATATCAAATGTACTATATTAAACAACAACGGCCACGATGGTCTAGTGGTTGAGCACATCGCTTTACTTCCGATGGCCGCGGATTCGATTCCTCGCACGATGCCAACATTTGTATTCTTGAGTATGATCTTTTGTATCGGTATTTTATATATTCATTTACAACGAAATGTATATGAGTAGTTATATCAGTTGTCTAGTACCCATAACACAAGTTCAGTTTAACTTGGGACTAGATAGCGGTGTGTGAATTGTCTGGGTTATTATATTATTAATAATATTAAACGCCTATACACCACGTATGCATATAGTAGACTGTACGTAGCGACTATATTGATAGTCGAGTTTTTTTTGTAAGATAGAATGTATGTAATAAACTTACTGTTTGTATAAATACTAATAACACAAAAGATAAACCACAATATTTTTAATAACTTTATTATTGAATGGTTTAGTTATAATCATATACCGTACAATGTAAGTATGTAATAACTAAATAAAACACAAAAATATATTAAATGACCCGTTGATGCGACTAAAAATAAAAAATATTTTTAAAAATTACCAAATTATTTTAAATGTTCAGCCGGGCGTATTATGTACAATTCTTAAAGCTACATTTAATAATAACCTACAATAAAAATATCTAACACAGCGAATGTAACAACAAATTGATTTTGGACGGTCTTCAATATTCTCAAAGGCCTAATCTATTATCATATTTAATTAACATGCTCTTAATCACGCTTTATTCGTATGTTGGATAAAATTTGATGATCTCACTTTCTAAACTGATCACTAAAGACATAGATATCATTTTAAGTATAATATTTACGAGGCTGAATTGTCCTGTTATACGATTACAGGTTAGTCGTTCCTATAGAAGGTGGAAGCATTCTATGGGATAGAATCCAGAAGTTTAGTTACGTGTGGATAATGATACTTCCTACTACTATGTAATGTGACCATAAAGTAACTAATACTATCAGCACTCTATGCATGTTTTACTCATTAGGTTTTGTATTAAGGAAATTATGTACTGTCACATTAATATAGAGATTCATAAAAGAGTATTTAATTTATAATGTCATAATTAAAATACATTAATATATTGTAACATCATAAATAAAAATATTTATTAAGGATTACATATGTATATATATATATGTGTTTCTGAAATTTTAGGAATGTGTGGGTGCGCTCTGTGAAACTTTCATTTATTGTTCTTTCAAATGAGTATATACAAGAACATCGTAATGCTATGTTACACGTATATATATAACAATAAATGAAAGTTTCACAGAGCGCACCCACACATTCCTAAAATTTCAGAAACACACCTGTAACTTTAACAAGTGTTGTAAGAACTCATAGACAGTGGTAATGCCTTACAATTAGGCGTACCGCAAGCTAGCTCCCTATGCTATAAAAAGAACTTACATAACAGGATAGACATTATAAACAGTATAAAAATTGTTCTTAATAGTTTTATCCTTAATATATGAAATAGAAGCCATTATGATCCTACCCACAATTTATTGTTCTGTTATTGATGTTGACGACATTTTCTCACAATATATATTATATTTTAGCAGATACTATAGCACTAAAGAAACATACTTATATATTTCTGGTTTTGTTCTATACTTTACTTTCTTTTATTATTTGACGTATTTTCAATGTCATGTCTGATATATGGATATAAAGCGATTTGTTCATTTTTCTTCGCAAAAGCGCAGTATAAATAACGTCGTGGCTCCATGAAGATTGGACCATTAATATCTGTTGTTATTGCTATTACATCTTCTATTATATTATTGCTTGTAGTAAAGATACGATGCCATGATTGCTAACGCCGCTAGTGGCAGCGAAGCAGTAATTGCACCTGCACCGTTGCAGTTGTCTGTATTACATACACTACAGTATTTGAGTTTCAATTTTTCATCGGCAACTCTTGGAGCATCTAATATTTGACAAGTCTGATTGATGTTCAATGGATTGACGTCTAAACACGCTCTGATGACAGTGCCGGTCTCTGTAAGTAAAGATAAATCAATCATGAAAAGACAGAACTTGGTAATGGTTTTGACAACGCTATAGACAAATTTATTGTCAGTGAGGAAGACTTTTTAAAAAGTAACCAGGGTACCTCTGCCTCACCTATTTCTTTGCAAGCTTGCTTTGTCAGCTATGCTTAGGTTGCAGGGTGAGATAAGGCAGTGACATTAAAGAATAATAATGGGTATGTTGTCTTAGTTGTCTAGAATGGCAATTCATAAATGTTGTCAAGTTAACATGATATCCGTAGTGCTATTCATGTAACCACTTACTATCAGGTGTCATCGTCTTGTTTGTTATTCTATTTACATAAAAAAATTGAAATAAAATGTGTTCATTATTAACTTTTATATCGTGCTAGCCCTATGGTAATTCGGATAAATACTACTCCATTGTCTTAATCTAAGATGCGATCCGTTTACCAATCATTGGGACATGAACATGAAGCATAGAATTTGGTATATATCAAAAGGAATTGGAGTTTAAATATTCGTCGATAACAATATAACTAAACTGTGAGTTCGTCTATAAATGTTCATCCCTCATTTCATGAATATTCGTTCAGTCTTTTAGTCTTGAAAAGGCAAAAACAAACAGAATAATGTACCTTTTGTAATATGATTATGGATATATTGTAAGTTAAAGTCACCTGCTGGTTTGCTACCCTTTTGTATTATATAAGAAGTCATGACTTCAAATATGACCGTCATTAAAAAACTTTGTTTGTCAATTTATCACTGACTCAAAATTACGGGAGCAGGGCTGACACCTGCCATAATGGATTCAAATATACCCAGTGAAATGTGGTCACAACATCGATAGTTGACAGAATCCCTGACTAAACCACTTGGGATAAAAGTCGTCAGGGTATGTGTATATTCCATATATATGTAGACTATTAGTTTTTGAAAATATTTCTTACAACAAAGTAATCAATATAACCTAATATTGTTACAAATTAAGTACAAAATAATTACCTATAAATAATTACCACAAAAAGGTTTTATTTAAAAGATTTGTGGAAATTATGCTTAAAAATTACTATGGAATTCCATATTTGGTCACCTTCCTCCACTGTGGTAACATTATTTCAAAATTTGACATTTGCACCTGTTAATTTAGTCTCTGGGATTAAAAAACAGGCTATAGACGATATATAAAGTCTACGGGGTGATCACTAGGTCATTATAGACTAATATAATAATGGAATAATTTACTTACGCATGACAATCTTATGACAATATCTTGTGGCCCCTAACGCCGATGCTACATCAATAGGCAACAGACCACGCAGATATTGGTTATTGTAGTTTGTCGACTCATTGCTCAGACATTCCTATAAACAAATTGGCAGAAATAGAAATTAATAATGGTTTATAAACATTAATCTTACAAAACATTCAAAATGCGAATATTTGTGAGGATAATGCCCCTCCGATAGATCCCATGAGCCGATGATTGAATCCCTTGTGGTGCTGACTAAAGTCGTATCCATCAGACAAGAGTTGGCCTCTAGCCGTTACATCAGTCCACGCGTTCGGAGTGCTTTTCGTAACATCTTCCATATCGTTGGATGAGGCTGTAAAGACCAGCTGTGGCCTTGTAGGCCATGGCATTGGAATAGTTCCAAAACGGAGTATCTATCCGTCTCCACCTATAGAATATTTTGTCTTCTTTCATGCAAAAACTACATTCGAATTAAATTTAGTACACTTACAAATTATAGCTAAGATTAATAAATAGGTTAATTTTTATCCTAATACACACAAGTATCTACAAAGTGTACTTTATCGATATATTAATGAAATACAATTTTATAATACACTAGCTGTTCCCGCAACTTCGTCCATGCGGAATTAACTTTATTTTTCTAAAATAAAAGTAGCCTAAGTTACTACTTATTACATCAGCTACCTGCCAAAAAAAGTCCGGTCATAATCAGAGACAAGCCAGAACAAACAGACTGACAGACAGACAAAAATTGTAAAAAAATGTTATTTTGGTGCATGTACTGTATTTATATGCATGTAGTAAAAAACGGTTATTTCAGTATTACAAACAAACACTCCAATTTTATTTATATGTATAGATTATACATATAACTTGACCGTATGCTATTCATGTATATAGGCGACGGTTACAGCTACCACAAATAATATAATATTACCGCTACCATCAGGTGAGCCATGATGTTTGCCAATCTACTTACATAAAAAATATTAAACAGCATTACTTCTTCATACTGTTTTAGTCTAAAAGATGCGATATATATGAATATAAATATATATATATGACATCATTGTTGAAAAATACCTGTTAGCACTTATGTAATCACATCCCGATACTTCCCATCATCATCTAATCCTGTACAACAAGTATATCTAGTTAAAGCAGGCGGTATTTTTTTTTTAAGGTAATTTTCCAACATCATCCATTAAAAGAACCGGTTTTAAAAGGATTGTTCCGAGGGAAAAAATGGATACAACAAAACATTATTCTTAATTTCTTTTTAGATTTTCTTCGTGCTGACGGTATAAAGTTATAATATATCGCCATTTAATATTTCTTCCATAGATATGATAAGAAATAAAAGGAGAAAAAATACATATATATGAAAAGTATTAAAAAAAAAATTGAAAATCGTGTACTTACTACAATTGTTGCGTTTCTGAACGGGTCCGAACACTTTGGATCTGATTGTGAGTTGCACTGGTAGCATTTTATACATGATCCTGAAACAAAAAAATAATTATAGCATCAGTAAACGGATTTATGTAATAATAATTCTGTATCTTCTGTGTTTTACGTCATTGTAATGAATATCTCTCTACCTGTATTACAATGTGTATGTACTTTATTTATCTAAGTACAGTACACATTTACAATTCATAGCAATCCACAGCATACAATCCTCAAATATAATATTAATTGCTTGGTATTGAATTATTTTATTTATTTTATTTATTTAAACTCTTTATTGCACCAGACAAAGAAAACACACAAAATGATATAATACATAAACTGATACAAAAGGCGGTCTTATCGCTAAGCAATCTCTTCCAGACTACCAGTAGAGAAAGTAACCTTAAGATAAGAAAATAGTAGGTGGTGCACGTAATGAACATAAATATACATTTGTACATAAATATATCTATTAATATATATAATAAAATATAAACATACGTAAACATACATATACTTAATAATGCACATATCTTCAGAAAATATGAAGGGAACTATGAGAAAGAGGACAATATGAACTTAAAGGGAAAGAAAGTGGGATTTGACAGAGACTTTGAAACTAGCAAGTGACTGAATGCTCCGAATGCAAGGGGGGAGTGCGTTCCATAACCTGACAGCCTGGACAGAAAAGGATTTAGAATAGAAGGAAGTGGAATGAGAAGGATATCTGAGAAGGAGGTTGTTAACATTACGCGACGGATAGCTACTGTTCTCACTGAGAAATGTGAAACTGTCTTTTAGATAATCAGGAGTGTGGGGGTTAAAGAGAATGCTGTAAAGGAGTGAAAGGATGTGTAAGTTGCGACGAAGACGGATAGGGAGCCACTTGAGTTGAGTACGATAATGGGAAATATGATCATATTTGCGCAGACCAAATATGAAACTTATACATAAATTTTGAAGTCGCTCAAGTTTATTTAGTTGCTCTTCAGTGAGATCTAAATAGCAGGAGTCTGCGTAATCGAGGATAGGAAGAAGTAAGGAGTGAGCAAGTGCAATTTTGGTTTCAAAAGGGAGAAAGTTACGCAATCTGTTTAAGCTACCTGCTGCCGCAAACATTTTTTTGCTGACCTCGGATATTTGATGAGACCAAGACAAAGTACAGTCAAAAACAACGCCAAGATTTCTTACAGATTTCTTGTATTCAATAAGGACCCCATCAAAGACTACAGGTGGAAGGTCATTCCAAGATATTTGCGAAATATATCTGGAGCTACCTATAATGATGGCATGTGTCTTCGAGGGGTTCACAACAAGGCCGTAAGACTTACTCCAGGCAGATATACGGGCAAGATCATCATTAATTGTGGAAATGGCTTGAGAAATATCTACCAAGGTAGCCTGAGTGTAGATTTGGAGATCGTCTGCATAAAGATGGTAGGAAGATTGAAGTGTAGAAGTGATAGAGCCAATAAACAAAGCGAATAATAGAGGAGATAAGACACCACCCTGAGGCACGCCAGCTGACGTAAGGCACCATTATCTTATATATAAAATTCTCGTGTCACAGTTTTCGTTCCCATACTCCTTCGAAACGGCTTGACCGATTCTCATGAAATTTTGTGAGCGTACTGAGTAGGTCTGAAATCGGCCAACATCTATTTTTCATCCCCCTAAATGTAAGGGGTAGTTCACCCCTAAATTTTTATTTTATTTTTTAGACAAAATTTTTAGTTTCTATTTTTTTGTGATACAACATACAAAAATACATACAATCCTAAATTTTCACCCTTCTAACATCAACCCCTATTTTTTATAGCGTTATTAATTTATATGGCAAAACAACGTTTGCCGGGACAGCTATTAGATCTATAAAAATCCAATTGAAATGTCCTAAAGATATTATAAATTTTGCTTTTTTATCATACAGTCGAATAAATTACTGTTCAGGTAAATATCAATAAGTATTCATGTACTGAAATTGGATGTAATAATTATGATCTTGAGTAGAACCATTACGAAGACTAATAATTATGTTTACATATGTCTGCGTATTGAATTTAATTTGTTGTTCTATTTATATCATATATTATGTTTTATTATGTAGCGCGGTGGTTATCCTCATCACTGTAGCGTTATATATGTTGTGATGAGGTGGAGCTACATAATATATTATTTATGTAGGTAGTGAGTATACCGGTAAAATGATTGCACTATTTACTATATATTATTAAGTTTAATGGTAGTGTGCACATGACTTATTAATAACGCGTACAGTCAACGCGGAGTCGGGACGAGGAGAGTACGAGGGAGAGTCGTAGACTGATTATACACTTAACTTAACTTATATGTTAGTGGAGACGTAAATTAAGGGAAGGGTCTCACTCTCAAGTGTTGACAGAAATATTACATGTGTAGGCACAATTGCATAAGTTAGCAACATGACATTAAATTAATTTATTATAGTATTAAATCATTTTTAAATTGAAAATAGAACTTAACTCAATATTTAAAATCTTTAATAAATCAGTACTACAACCATTAACTATTAATAAATTTAATATATAACAACTTCGTCTGCGTTATTTCTTCCTTATTCGCTACATTTTTCATTGTAGCTCAGCTCCTATTATATTAATTGTAGCGTGATGTTATATAGCCTATAGCCTTCCTCTATAAATTGTCTATTCAATATTAATAGAATTTTCAAAATAGGTTCAGACAACCAGATATTATCTCCTAATACCTCACAAACTCACAAATTTAACTTTTTTATGATATTTAGATATTCTTTATTTATTATTATTTTCTTCCATTTAATGAGTGGTTGTAATATTTTTGAAATCTTGACCTCGGAATCATAATTGGTTGGTCAGTCGTTACTCACTGGGTCTTCGTGCCTCCACTAATAGGATTAATTTATAAAACTGTCTTTCATCTACTTGGGCCAATCATCTCATAAAATACTTAACTTTATTAGAATTCGTAAGAGTGAATAAACTGGGTGGGTCACACTGATGGACAAATCAGTTATATTATTCATATAATTAATATTTAAATTTATGAAAAGAAGATATAATTGATCATTCTACAGCGAACTTTATATTTAAATTCCTCGTTTTTCTACACTTTTTTCATTATCCATATATGTAATAATAACACAAGAGACGACTAAAACTCGATTGAATCCTTATTATTCTTGGTAGTGTATAGTTAGTAGTTATTAATGGTTTTACGCGATTACATGTACACAAATACTAACATTGAAGTATTTTTTATTTAATTACGTCCTTACCTTACTATGTTTTAGTATATATTGTATTTGAAGTCGGTATTTTACAGAAGATATAATCATAAATTATAATATATAAACTAAACTATACTAGTAAATAACAATAATTGCGTGTATAGATCTAATAAAAATAGAAATTACAGTAAATAAAAACTAGTTTTTTTATTTGCCATTTAAGCGTATTTGTGGTCTGGTGAACAAACAATATTATAGTCAAGGAAGTAAATTTATAGCAATGTTTTCGTGAAAGTATCTGGTGGAATAGTGAATTCGGAGAAATGTTATATTCTTGTTTACCTCATGTTAAAACAAACAAACCGTACGTAATAATATTATTTAAATCTTAAAACCATAATGTCGTAAAGTTTTTTATTATGTAGTTAGAATGGCAAATAAACTGACGGCCCATCTGATGGTAGGTGGTAACCATCATATATGTATATATATTGACAGCACCACGGACATCACGTATTCAAGTAATGCCCCTGTACACATGCATTGCCATTCCGTAGGACTAAGATGTTATGCCTCTGCTGATATCCTGAAATTTAACTGCCCTCTCTTATCCTTCAACCGAAACACAGTTTAAGAAGCAAGCAGCTTAGCAGCTGAAAAAAGTAAAAAGTTGTAGTCTCTAGTGTATTTCTAGGTGTCTATGCAAATAGACGGCCTCTTTGCCCGTCCATATTTTTTATCATGGAATAATTAACCCACCTGATTTTGTTTGATTAGGCACCGGTGTAAGAAGAAGGTATATAGATAAAATTAGGTTAATTAGCTAATTGTTTTAAATTATTTATGAATTAACTGCTATAATTACCAAGTGGGATACCATGTAATATCGTTAGAAGTGCAGAATTAAAAGGACCCAGCAGTCATTGATATGTGCTGTGTACGGTAAATCCAGCATACGACTTTTGTATGATTTCAATAAATAACTGCAGCGTTGTGCAAATATTGTCGTTGGGATAAAGGCTTTAGGATTGTTTTATAACAATTTCCGGTGCAATTAAGTATTTACTAGTGTAAATTGCGAAAATAATGAAATATTGTATGTTCTAGATTAGATTAGCTGGAATATGGCAAGATAAGAGAAAATGTTCATACTGTTTATACTGTCCTTGTAAATATATGTAATAAAATAATCAGCATTACGGAAAACAAAAATATGTATATCGAAAGCGTACTTAGGAACTAATTTTAATCTATCTATTTTCCACAAACAAAATATTATCTAATCGAACAATCGATTAAGCCACTTATCAAAAGAATGTCTAATTATAAGGAAATCATTAATATATTAACATTTTATACAATCTAGAAACAGTCATGTATATCCTATGAATAATGCATGCAATTGCAGCATAATTTTGTGTACTATCTATCTAATGGGAATAACAAAAACAAAATATTTGTAACAAAGATATAATTTTTTGTCATCTAAAGTATAATAATAATGTGTAAATAATACCCTCCTTTAATGTATATACCTTAAAAGAAGAGAAAATGACATGATGATAATAAAATTTTATATGCCAAATGCAGGCAATTAATGAGGTGTTATCTGTATATTAAATATATTACCTCATTAGAGGTGTGCCAAAATTCAATAGGTACGTAAAAATACAATTTCTATGCAATTAAATATTTCTTGCGTCATCCTTACTAATATTATAAATGAAACTAATTAACTCTGTCTGTCTGTCTGTCGCTTTCACGTCAAAACTACTGAACCGATATAAATTAAATTTGGTACAT